CTAATTAAAGGTTCTGAATACATAAATGTATATATTCAATAAAATATATTTAATAAATTAACAATTCTAAAGAAATGCTGTCTTCAGTTGGTCAAAATGAGGTACCGAGTGTAGCTTCATAAGAAGAAAAGATTTTTAAAAGCATTGGGCTTCACTATATCAAATAACGTTACAGACTGAAAAGGCCAGAATGAAATGGAGTTTAATATTCTGTTCTCATTACATCTTACAAAAGCTAAGCATGAATCTGAAGTTAAAAGGGGTTCTACAGATTTGAACTGCTAATCAGCCATCATATGGTTCCAGCAGCATTAGAGTTTAATGTTTGCCATCTCAGCTCTGCGACTGCACTGAGAACAATACCCTCCATCTTTCCTCGCAACAAGTCTAGACTGACATTTGAAGTGTTTTCTAGAATGAAATCAGTGTTACAGATATTTTAGAACTGGTCTTGCAGACTTGGCCCACTCTCTGCCATGCAAACAAAAAAATCTTAACCGTTTAGCTCTGAGCGGCTCAGGGAAAGCTCTGAGAGAAGACCAGGATGAATCCCACAGTCTGTGCTCCCATATAGATGGGTCCTGTTTTCTTCCATCCCAACGTCTCCGGAACGCTCCAAACATGCAGATGTTTTACTGTGTTTGGGCAGGAAAGCCCACTGTTCGCTACGTCCCACCAGGCCCGTGTGTTCGTTTGTGACCCCSTACAGTGCTCGGGAAATCAGTCTGTCTTCAAATCTGTCCCTTTTCTATCTGAAGCATGTGTTCTTTTGCTTTACGTGGGCAAACAGCAGCAGACGAGCTCCTCCGGTTAAAGCGAGCCACAGAGCAGGGACCGAGTCCAACCCTGAAACTGAATCAAACCACTGCTGACATCCGGATCATTGCTGCACTGAAACACAAGCAGCTGTGTCCAGTTTTAGATTTATTCTTGTTTTTTTTTTTTCTCTTTCTGCGTGGAAGCCTGTCGTCTGAACACTGTATCCATGACAACTGGGTACTCACCGATTTGTATTCAACTTCAGCTTATGTCAAATTTATCCTGAGCCTGAAACRAGAAGTATCCGAGATGTGAAATATTTAACTTTGAGACGACACTTGACGACCCTGATGGGTAGAGAGAAGGTTCCTCTWATCCAGTCTTTTGCTAAAAAAACAAAAAACAAAACATGGTCCGTTTTTTGCATAAATGCTTTTTAATTTCTTGTTTCATGCATTATTGATTGAACACGAGGAAAGAGTGTGCAGCAGTGTTGTCGGTGATGCCTCACACATTATTAGAGCTTTTTGTGCAGCATCCTGCTGGTTCTCCGTTTCATCAGAGCACTTAAACATGAATCACACATGTTTTATTTTGTTTGCTTGATTGATTTGTCTTAAAGTATGCTGCTGCACTGCAATCAACAGGTATTAACATCTCAAAGGCTTCAGTGGGCACAGTAAAAAGACTGATGTGAAGAGGAGAAAGAGAACAGAAGYCCTCTTTTTATGATTATGGACACTTCTCCGTCTCCACGTGCTCCACTCTTCCCATCTCTGTAGATCTTTCAGCTAAGACCCCACATTAAGAGCTAATCAGTGGGTTTGATAAATGCCACTGGACCCATTTTAGAGATGAAAGTATTTTTTTCATCCTGCACACCACTCTGTTTCTCATTTGTGGGTAATTATGAAAAATGATCCATCTTTGATGCTCTGCCCCATGTTGTGGTATTTGTGCATTCAGTATTGTAGAATACTTATATTTTACTATATAGAGAAGTCTGTTTGTGATGCATATAATAAAACATGTCACAGAGTCAGGAGGGATCAGCAATAAACAGCAATGAAGTTTTAAGATTTCGAAGTTTTTTTAAATTAATTACTGTATATTTTGGGCAGATATTGCCTACTTCAGTGTTTCCAAACCCTGGTCCTCAAGGCACACTGCTCTGCATGTTTTAGACGTTTCCCTGCTTYAACGCACCTGACTCAGATGACTGCAGTTCAACAAAAGCCTGTTAATCAGTTATCAATTGAAAACAGCTGTGTTGAAAGAGGGAAACATCTAGAACATGCAGGGCAGTGTGCCTTGAGGACTAGCGTTGAAAAACACGGGCCTACTTGACATTAACGACCCATGAATCTTGCAGCCAGTGTTGGATTCTGACAGGAAGCTGCTGCTCACACCACTCATGCCTTTATTTTGTGTGCTTTCACATGTTGACATGCTCAGCATGAGCTCTTGTTTGTAAAACATTACCTATGCTTCTGTTTTTGACATTACATACATGAAATAATGTCCACAACATGTGACACGTCCATGGGAGGAATTCCTAATTAGACTCCAATGTCCTACACCGAATTATATAAAGGCACAGTATTCTATTCTATTCTATTCTATTCTATTCTATTCTATTCTATTCTATTCTATTCTATTCTATTCTCCTGCTATGTTGTAACAAAATAAACCTAAGTATAGATTACCTTCACTGAAATTGGGAAAAGTTGACCAGAACTGATATAAATATATTATCCGACTAACCATTATTGTGAATAAACAAACAAGCTGGTCTTTTTTTCTACATTTCCTTATGTCTATACTGTATGTTTTTATGAACAGTATAGAATTGGAGGCGTTTCTAATGATCAGTAAATTTATTTAAYTTAGTTTCAATCTGTAAAAATAAATGAGGCAGAATCACAGCTAAAGATAATAACCATGTTAGGATATTTACAATGTATTTCAAAGATTTGTTCTTTAAACCTATAATGTTCACAGATGATATTAACTTATTAGTCTCATGGGTAGAGCTAAAAGAACGAGTAAAAACARTGAAAAAATACTTGATTATGAACAATATTAGTTTGTTATGTATTAACTTAAATACAAGCCAGTATATTTTGTTTGGTGGCTAATTTTGATCTAAAACAAGTTAATAATGCAGAATTTAAAGATCTTATAAAATAAAAATTTGATCCTAAGCCGTTGGAAACCAAAGCATATTTAAATATTGACATTTTTTAAAATTTGCTTTTACTTTGAAAGTAGAATATTGTTAAATAATAAACCTTTTATATACTGTACTGTACTGCTTTTCTGAAATATTATACTGTATGTATTGGAGAAATGCATATAAATTAAATGAAGACCCAATATTTGGACTTTAAAACGTACAAGAGTATGTTTAAGAGAACCAGTTTGAAATCCAGATGTGTTTTGGACTCCATTTTTCTTTAGTTAGTACTTGGTTTTAATAAAATTAACACTGACTGCTGCCTTTAACACCAACATTTGACCAACATGAGGAATATAAATACCTCGGTGTTCATCTGGACAACAGACTGGACTGGAGACTCAACAGTGAAGCAGTCTACAAGAAAGGACAGAGCAGACTGTACGTCTTAAGGAAGCTGAGATCCTTCAATGTCTGCAGTAAGATGCTGCAGATCTTCTACAAGTCTGTTGTTGAGAGCGTCATCTCTTCTGCCATCATCTGTTGGGGCAGCAGCATCAGAGCCAGGGACCTAAAAAGGCTAAACAACCTGATAAAGAAGGCTGGTTCTGTTCTGGGGACGACTGTGGAATCTCTGGAGATGATGGTGCAAAGAAGGATTTTACATAAAATCAAGAACATTGTGGACAACCCTGACCATCCTCTTCATCAGACTGTCATAGAGACACAAAGTGTCTTCAGTCGGAGGCTTCTTCAACTTCGCTGTAATACAGACCGCTACAGAAGATCTTTCCTGCCCACAGCCATCAGCATCAATAAGTCTTTAGTTAAAAGAAGTACAACAACACCTAATTTCACTCTAGGATCAATAAATTATTTTTCAATTGAATTGAAATAAAAACATTAATGCTCTGTGTTGGGGTGACCTCAGCTATACTACCACATCAATTTTAACCCAATATCTGTAAAATCGACTGAGTTGCAGACATTTTTGTGTTTCTTTGGGGTTATTTTCTTTGCCAGCCATCTTGAATTGGATAAACTCCAAAAAATAATCTATTARTTTTTTTTATCCAAAAACATTTTTTTAATGAATTCAATCAAAATCCATTAAATTGATTCATAACATAATTTGCTAACATGACTGAAAAGACAAATAGACAGAAAATTACATGATTGCTCACTTTTCATGGCAGTGGGTGCATTTATGGGTTATAATATATAAATCATTAAATTGCAGTTACATTTATTAATGAACATTTGTGATCTTTGTGTATGAATGTTTTTGTTTTATATCTACTGGCTGTGAAACAAACTGCCCCTTGGGAATAACAAAGATTCTTGAACTTGAACTTATAATATGAATTGATTATTATAGGAAGATGATTGTGTAGTCTTGAACATTTGTGTCAGTTTTCTGTGGAAGCCAAGACGGGACATTTTCTGTATATAAATACTGTGTTTTCCATAATTTTCTTGTGATAACGACATATAATGTCTTATCACAAATTAACAAGGAGCGTTTTCTCAAGATAACAAGTTTTCCAGATGGTTTTCCTATTGTGTATGTTTTAGTGGAGACAACCTGGTCCCCTCAGCTGTTCATTGATGAAGATTACTGTCCATCTATCCATCCATCAATCCATCCACCAACCGACGGACGGACTGACTTTCATATCAGCTCTTGTCAGACGTCTGGTCTGACTGTATACCAGCAGGCGTTTAMACAGTGATCCTGATGATATAATAAACTTTATCAGTCACCAGCTGAGGGAACTGGACCATCTCCATAATTACTAAATGATGCACAGAAAACCATAACTCGTTATCTCGAGAAAACGGTCCTCCTCATTTCGTGATAATGAAAATATGTCATTATATTGCAAAAACATTTCTTGTTATTTCATGATAACGACATGTTATGTTGTTATCATGTGAAAACCATGGGGAACAGACGCTCTCGGCTTCCTTAGTTTTTAAAACTTTCGACCTGTTCATTTTTTGTTTGATGTGTTTCGTATTTTCAGGGTGATTATTTTTATTTGCACACGCCAAATCAAAATACTAAAATTATTTAGAATCATAACAGTGAGTTTGAAAGCAACAACTGGTTTTATTTTAATGAGGCCACCTACTTCTGCTTCTTCTTTTCAAAAAAAAAAAAAAAACTACACTACCCAGAAAGCTTTGCTGCAGTATAAATAGTAAGCCAATGGGCGGTCCTGCGGTGACATGTGGAGGAGGTAAGAAGAGGACTGTTACGGAGGACGCGTTCAGCTGTCAGAGATAACGCTGCTCTCACCTGGAGTTTACTGCCATGGACTTAACCGAGGCTGTGGAAATTATCCTGTGATGACCCACTTCCTGTCGCCTCTCAGTCTCTGACTGCCTCTGTCTTTTTGACGTCTTGGTCATTTTTTGGGGGGTTAGGTAAAGTCCTTGTCTGTTTGTAGTTTTCTAGTCAGCGCGTTTGCCTTTCTTCTTCTTCTTCTTCTGCTTCTGTTTATATCTGACAGAAATGAGAGCATCCCTGTCAGGAAGTAGCCCACTCGCTCTTTGTTTCTGTCGTGTTCTGCCGCGCGTGCTAAAAATAAATAAATAAATAAACCGAAACAAAAATGTAGGCAGGTTGGTTGGGATGTTTCTGTTTACCTTTTCTACTCGAAATGCAATTGTTTGTTTAAAATGACCATTTAAATTTTCTGCAGTAGACGRAATATAAAGTTTATATGTGGCAAGATTCGTCTGGAAACGTGCTGCTATGACCTTTAGTTTCTCACAGCTAAAGTTGCAGATTTAAAATGTGTAATAAGTTTAAGGTTTACAGGCATTTAACGCGTTTAAGCATAAATTAGAGGAAACATGTCAAAATTGGCATTATTTAATTTTTTTTCTTTGCTAGAAAGAAAGAAAACAAAAGTAACCTACTTTTCCCTCCTCATTGTGTTTCTGGGCTTCTGACACAAGCTGACTGTCCCCAGACTCCTCACTAAACTGCAGGATAGATTAGTTTCATCCAGAAAACATAAGAGTGCTCAGAAAAAAAAGAGGAACAAATGAGCTTTTATTTATTTCCTTATGTCATTATTATTGTCCACTTTTTAGTAATTCAAGAGTTCTTCACAGTGTTTACCTTGGGCTGCACAGATGAAATGTTTATAGAGTGCTTGTGTAAGTTTTCATGTATTAATGGACATTTTAGCAAAGATGTATTAATAAATTAGCTGTAGTTTTCATTGATGTATGGCCTAAATCAATTGTTTCTAAACGTTTTAGCTCTCAATCTACAAAATGATTGTGATACAGACATGTGACCCCACCTGTTGTCAGTTTAATAAATATACAAACTACTAATGAGAACCTAATCAAACATGAGCGAATTAAAACTATTAGCCTTAATATTCACAACGTCAATATTATTCATACAGTTTTTATTCTCCGTAACAGTTACAGTAAAAATATAAAAAAAAAAACATGCTGTGTGACATATTAAAAATGTAAGTTGATATTCGGAGATTAGTAGTGTTTTGCTCTTTAAATACCAAACGAGGACCCGTTATTTGGTGTTTCAGGACTCTCAGTGGGGCACTGACCCCAACGTTGTGAACCACTGTGTGAAATAAATGGATAATAAGTGGCGCTGTGACAACTGGACACCAGCATTCAGGGCAGACAAACCAGTCAAGTAACTTGTTCAGAGCAGTCACTGCTTTCTGTTTATTTGTACATTAGTTTGTAATTTCAARGCAACTTGAGGTAAACTGCTATTATCTGAGGTTTGTAAAGTAACCCTTCTCTGTTATGTATCATCTAAGAGTTCTCTTATCTTTTTAAGGTGCAGTTAACGCTGAGAAACCATGTCGGACAAAATGTCTAGTTTCCTCCACATAGGAGACATTTGTTCTCTGTATGCTGAAGGTACCACCAGCGGATTTATCAGCACTTTGGGGTAAGCCTGCTTCTTTTATGAACCATTCACTACCTCTGATAGAGAGTACTTGAACCGTATATGGACAGTATGAGGCAGAATACACAACTGATTTGATCAAAACTGATACAACTAAGCGTATATATATATATTTGTAATTTTATGACTGTTTCTTGTGCCAAAGACCTGGTTGCGCAGGTTGTGAAGTGGAGAGTTTTTWAAAAAAAATGTGTGTTTATATCTTAGGACAGCTTTAGTCAGCAGAAACATTTACTCAGGCATCAGTACCATCATTTATTAGATTGCAGTGTTTCAAAGTGTGGAGCTGTGCTGCATTCATCCAGTTAGCTACTTTAAAATAACACAGAGTTRTCATCTGAAAGCTTTCGCTGTCTGTAATTTTGGTTGAATTGTTTAAACAGATAGATTTGTTTTAAATGCTAAAAAATGCATTCATCCAAARAAACCAAAAAAAAAAAAAGCCATGACATCCTCATACAGTTTGAGCTTGTAGCAGTCATGGTCACATTTTCTGCAGGGCTGATAGCTGTCAAATGTCACATTTTAATATTTAATTTCTTATTACTAATTAAAAGCCTAGCAATCCTTGAAGGAATTCACTTTGCTCACCTTTCATGCAAAAGTTTTAAAATAAGATCATCTTATGTTGAAAAAAATGACAACGTTGTCGAGGTTTTGCTCAAGTTTTGGAAAATATGTAGTCTCACAATGTTACGAGACGTCCCTCTCAGAGTTTGTAGTGAATAACTCGCAGCTAGGGATGCACCGATATGAAAATTTCAGCCGATATGTATATCCTATATAGTTATTGCTGTTATGGCCAAAAACCGATATTTACCGATATTGCACAAACACACAAATTATATTATACTTATACTCACAGACACACTTGGGTCTTTTTTTGATACCATAAATAAACAACCAGACCTCTGACATGGCTCTACTTCAGTTATTCCTGGTTACGCAGCATCAGTATCACTATTATGATCAAACAGATGACGCTCAACCAACCAKCTCCCCTCCCAAAACAGAAACACAAAGATAAAAAGTGGGAAATCAATATCAGACGTTAATATCGACCCAGTTTTACATGTCAGACCAATATTCTAAAAAATGACCAAGGCAAGATAATGGCAAAGGGTGTTGCGCAGTTTGTTATAGAGTTGTCAAAACTCATTTTTATTGAGGGTCACATGAGCATTATGGGGGTCCTCAAAGGCCCAGTTGTAATTAACTTTAATAATAATATTACATTTTATTTATAAAGCACTTTTCAAGACACTCAAAGACACTACAGAAATAAGATTAAAAACAGCAACAGTAGTAACAATAAACGGGGAAATATTAAACATTTAAAGCAATAGATGTTTGGTGTTTACGTTTGACCAAACACGCAACRTCMCGTTCCTCGTCTCATTGCTACGACTGAGCACCACTAACAAACAATAACTGAGCTCTACATGGYATCCCCTGCATAGAAACAGCRTTTTAACAYGTCCTCTTATAAACACTGAAAAGTACTACACGCATGACTAAAKATTAACTAAATAACAGTAAATCCCTCTGGAAGTGGCGTTCCAGTTTAAATTTACAACCAGTTCAACTGGGTCACAGCGAAGATGCAGTGAAATGGAGGTTTKTACCAGCTGCCAGCTACTTCCACTTAGTTCCACTTACTTCCACTTAGTGGTGGAATGTTGTCATTTTGTGGGTAAAATAATCAACATCCATGATGGGAGATGTAGTTTATGGTCAATTCTGGCTTGAAAGCAGCTTTTGTTTTTTACATCAGTACATCTTAAAAGCTCACATGGGCCACAAAAAATGCCATGATGAGTTTGACATGTGTGTGTTAGTGCTTATAGAATCTGTGTTGAGGATCAATAGCTACTACCAGAGTTGTAAAGTAACTAAGTACAAATACTTTGTTACTGTACTTAAGTAGAATTTTTAGGTATCTGTACTTTACTTGAGTAATTATTTTTCAACGTACTTTTTACTTTTACTCATTACATTTTTACACAATTATCTGTACTTTCTACTCACTACATTTTTTAAAAAGGTAAGAAGTATAAAGTCGTTACTCCTATTTTATTCTGAGTTGTTATTACTTAAAAAAAATACTATCCTGATAAATTGTGTTTCCTGGATTGAGTGAATTTAATTGTGGTTGGATGAGAAGTATAAAAATATACCATTCTGACACCCTATTAGCTTGTACACAACCCATCACAGCTGCACGCCGTTAGAAAAAATATTTTTTGGAGAAGTCACCTCCCAATAAATGTCATTTGGAAAATCCAACTGCTCACTTTTACTCAGTACTTTTACTTTTAATACTTAAGTAGATTTTGTGTCAGAAATTTGCTTTTGATACTTAAGTACAAAAAATATCAGATACTTTAAGACTTTTACTCAAGCAATATTTTTAGAGAAGACTTTTACCAAAGTATTTTATGATAAGATACTTGTACTTTTACTCAAGTATCACTTTGAGGTRCTTTATACAACACTGGCTACTACCACACCCAATTTTAGGTTAGTGTCTGTAAAAATGGCATCTAACCAAATTGTTGTTGGCCTACATGGATTGTAGATCCACTCCACTGACTTTCTGCAAGCTTCATTAAAATGTGTTCAGTGGTTCATGAGAACCAGACTGAAACAGAAAGGTYTGCCTTTGTCTTTTCGGATGTGGGTGATGATGTTGAGTTTATTGTTTTACTCCTTTTCTCCCATTTTAGGCAGCCTGAATTACCCTCTATTTAATTGTCACGTCTTTAAATAGTTGCTATCTCGCCTCCTCCCTAATTGTAGGCCATGAGTTAGTGTCTTATTTAGTGAGACTAGAACAAACTGTGTCCCTTAATTGACAATCACAGGAACAGCTGAAAGAAAGAGGAGGGTCATAGAGGGGTTGGTGACGTTAGGTCTTTATGTTTACATGTTGTCTCTCTCCTGGTTGTTGTTTGCTTTGCACACTGCAGTTGTTGTCATGAGCTCAGCGCCAGTATTATCCTGTCCTCCCTCACCTTCTCGGATACTGCGACGTTCCYCCTCTTGCTGTGTAACAATTCTATCTGCCTCTCGGCAGCTGTTGGAGCCGGTCCTCTCCCCTCATCCTAAAAGCTGTGCTCTTTCACAGTTTCACTGTTTTGCGTCACCTACCATAGCAACAGATGTGTGAGCAGCTTTGATGACTGCCAGCCATGACAGCGCTCATTTGTCAAATTTCCTGTCCTGTGTGGTACACCCCCCCCCCCACACACACACACACACACACACACACAAACACACACTTGCAACTGCTGTGTGTACTTTTGTTTAAAGAGAGAAGCTAAGAGGACGAACCTAAAAATAGTATCATTATATTAGATGTCACCCGTGTTGTCAGGATTCTGAATGTCACCCCTGAGAGACCGCTGCATCCATCTGGACACACACTGACAGCCGAAGGTGCTGTGTCACAAAAAGCAAAACCAAATTCCCTCTTGACCTTTGGTATCACTGACTCTTACTGCACCTGTTTCATTTTGGATCTTTGCCCACTAATACATCAACACGGTCAAAGTACCRTCTCTTTATTTCGCACAGCAAGGYGTTTTTTCTCTCTCATCGTTGCGCTCCAGTGGTGCAGTTTATCAGCTAGAAAMGGCTAAAGCTAGAGCAGATGGAGCAGCCTACAGAGGTGTTTTATTTGTGTTAACCCACAATGCAATAGTACTCTCAGGAGTTCCCATTAAAGTCCTTGACAATGCATTGCTTTCATCATAAAATCAATATTAAAAAGCTCTAAACATGTTTGTTAAGTTTTATGAAGGGTGATAACTGTCCTTAAAAAGACATGAAACRGTTGCCAATGTGAAGGTCTTGTACTTTTTTTGTTCATTTGTTTTTCTTGGAGTGGGGGGAAGGATTTGTTATAAAATGAAAATAAAACATGTCTTAGATTATGTCGTCCTCTGAGCTCAATCCTTTGAGTGCTACAGAGTTCACAGAGTTTTCAGCCTTTCCTGTTTTATGTTAAGTTGAATTATTTTTAGTCTGGCTAAAACTGGACTTTTAAAGTGCRCGCAAAGATCTTAGACAACCAAAATTGTATAGAGTCAAATGGTCAAAAACATTTTAATACAGTTAATGCAGCTATTAGACATGAATTATGCCAAATATGGTCATCTGGGCCTAAATTGGCCAAAGAGCTCTGCACACTTCCTGCCTCAGGTTTGCAGTCTCTGATCTTGGTTATTCAGATACCATTCTGAGCCAAATAGTTGTTTTTTTTTTTATATTTATGCTGCGCTCTATAGTTGGCTTACATTCAGTTGGGAAGGAGATCCTCGCAGGGCTGCATCAGAAACTTAATCAAGTATTTATTTTCCTCTAGTCCAAGTTTTAAGTCATTCTGAATGTGATCTAACTGTCCTTCAACATAAACTCAGTGAGTCAGCATTTTTATTATGACTTGGACATTTTTTTATCATCTTATATATCACATCTGATTTGGTCTTTAGGCCTACTGTATGCCCAGCTCGACTTCTGSCAGTGTGTTTTGAGATTATCTGATTGAACCCCGGGTTTACACACTGCATGCAGTTCTGCTCTGTTTCACTGTGYTGCGCAGTTCACCGTCATTCGTTTCCACCACAATTTACACTGCGTCCGCTCCACCCCTGGATGACACTCAGAGGAACTTTTAAGAAGCATGTGCAGGAAAAGCGAGATTGCGCAATAAAGTCACTGATTAATGTGGAAGTTGGAGCAAAAKAATTCTTTCTGTGGAAGACGGACTCCACAAACAGTTGAAACCACATCGCTGTCTTTTTGAAATTCTTATTTCAGAATCAAATCCAGTTGTGTTTTCTGCTTCCCAAACAGATTTCGATAAAATTAGTCTGTCTTTCGTGAATTATTTAAAAAATATGGATGTTGTCCTCGTTATTTTTCCTGTTAGTGTGGTGTAATCTTTGTAGATTGACTTCACTTACCCCAATAACTTATTTTAGCGGACTGCTGTGCGCATGCCATCATCCTGCTGATGCGGTGTAAACGCTCACCTTGATTACAATGGTTGTGTTTTTACTGCCGAGGTCGGAGTGTAGTGCGGCGGAGAGGAACGGACACAGTGTAAATTAGGGGTTTAGTCTCTGGACTGGAAAAGTACAAACAAATATCAAAGTGCCTGAAATCTTGTAATTATAAATTCTACCGCATTATTATTCCAATAATTTTTTTTACTAGTTCCAATATACTTTGTTTTATAWATTACAACCCCATTTTTTTAATAAACAAAAAACCAGGCTACATGTTGAGACTACATGTCAGTTACCATTGACCAGTCATTACTCTGAGAGTGTATTTTCTCTATGGTTTTCAGCCTACAACATTATTTTGTGGTTTGTCTGAAGGAAGAGGACAGCTGCTGAAGTAAATGCTAAAGGCTAAACATGCAAACTGTTTGAGTCATTTACTGATCTTTAATATCCAGTGTGTTGATTTTTTAGTTTTTTAGTTTTTATTCTTAGAATGCTGTATTTGTCCAGATTTAGCAGCTCTTACACCAACTGTACACCTATATGCATCAGTAAACATCCACAATTCATATTTGTTCATTACATTGATGTAAGTTTCTGTTTGACAGGTTTTTAGAAAGTATTATWGAAACTTAGGTCCTCTGTGCTTTTTAATTAACGGCACCCATCTCACGTTTTAAAAGAGTAATCTTTATCTGAAATTTAAAAAAAAAAGTTTGTTTTTGTTTGCTCATGCTTCATTGTTTTATTACATGAGGAATATTGTTGAAAATGTTTTTATTTATTAAAACACTACAGATTGTTATTAGAAGTTTTATAAATGCTGTTAGTTTTGAACGACTGAGTCACTATAATGATGGTGGGTGTTCCTCAGGCTGGTGGATGACCGCTGCGTGGTACAACCAGACTCAGGTGACCTCAACAACCCACCTAAGAAATTCAGAGGTAAGGATTCCCTGTCATTCAAACATCTGCTGATTTAAAGGAGGGTTGTATTTAGCAAAAAATAACTTTTTAGTTGTTTTATATCATGTTGTAATGTCATTCCCTCATCACAAATATACCCAGGGTGTTGCTTTGACTCATTCATTCATGTTTGAGAAGTCTATGAATCCGCTGTGGTAGCCATGTGGAGCTGCCTAAATGTTTTCTGGTACAAAGCTCCACCTATTTACACAAAGCGCCTCCCTGGAGCTCTGTCTACAGCTGTGCTCCTGCCCCACAGAGCAGAGAGCACAGCTCTCCACGCAGCTCCAGGGGCAGCGACATGTAGCAAACACCTGGTGGAACTGCACATTTTGTTGAGCTTAAACTTCTCAGTCCAGTTCTTGTTTAGATTAAAGAAAGGAGGCTAGTTTCAAGATGTTTAGATATGATTGCAAGTCAAGTTTATTTTTGATATATACAGCATTTTCATATCAATTGAAGTTAAGATAGTTACTTGATTGTGCTATAGAATTCAGCTACTGTATGTGTCTGGAAAATGCATAATAACCCCCCTTTTAAAGGGATCCCCGATTAGTTGTAACATTACTTTATTTGATAAACATATATTTTAACTGTAACATAAAGACTAAAAATACTGTAGGCTGT